ATCATTTTAATACCTACACATTCAAACACTTAAAGAAGCAAATGACATACATGGAAGTTTAAAAACCCCAGACCAAGGGGTGGCTCCATAGTGTAGTGGTTACCATGTCTGCTTTACACGCAGAACGTCCTGGGTTTGTGCCCCGGGTTCATGCCCCGGGTGTGCTCCGTGAGTATGTGAAAGGAGATACCCCACCTTCAGAGATCCAGCTCTTAAGGGGAAACAGCATCATCCATAGGTCAGGGGTGGAAGTGGGGGGCAGGGGCAATTAAAGAGGGGGAAAAAATAAATAAATAAAATAAATAAAAACCCCAAACCAGAGGTTAGTAACATGTGGCACACCGGCCAAACAGGACCCATTATTTATTTCTGTTTAGTCCATAAGAACAATTTTTAACATTTTTTAAATGGTGGAAAATAAAGGGAAAAATATTCTTGCCACATGAAATTTATATGAAATTCAAATTGTACTGTTCATGAATAGCTCAATTGGAGCATAGCCATGTTCATTTGTTTATGGATTATCTGTGGCTGCTTCCTCACTAAAATGGCAGAGTTCACTACATGACACAAAGACCACATGGCCTGGAAAGCCTAAAGTATCTACTACCTGGCCCTTTACAAAAAAGGTTTGCCTACTCCTGCCCCAAGCTAATATTCTAGTTTTCACAAATCTGAATTAGAGCTGCTCCCATTAAGCAGATGCTCAGGGAGATGCAATGTTCTATCCTTATTCTATGACATTGCCACTACTCTGAAGATTGCTGGAATTCCTTTTGCGGACATGACTTCACTGAGGTAAGGAGACTGAACATGCAACCTGGAGGCACTAGGCCTGGGCTTTGCAGCTGAAGGAAGCCTAGCACCGAAGATGCAGAATTGGTCTGCATTGGTAGTAGCTCCACATTCTAGTCTGTCCTGCCCAGAACTACCATACCTGTGACTTGGACAAGAAACTTATTATCCACTTTTAGAGGCAAGAGAAATTTATTAAAAAAAAAAAAAATCGAATGCATAAATCACACTAAAGAATCAACTCCATTACATCATATAACCATTGACCAATGGCCAACTAGGTTCACCTGATTCACTCACCAGACTGTTTCCAAATGACATCAAATCTACTCTAAAAAAATTAAAATTTACCCCTGATTGATAGTACACAAAAGTGGTCATGTTCTGAGAGAAATGTCAAATAACAAGCCCCAAAAATGTTTGGAGCAGTTAGCAGTATATCTCAAAGAGGGATCGAGGCTCTCTAGGTATGAATACTTAGAAGGCAACATACTGAAGTATGAAAATTATGATGCACGGGATAAGAAGTTAATGATAGCTCATTAGAGCCAAGTACATGGCATTGTGTAGTAGTCAACAGAAATTCAGTGATTGATAGTAAAATTAACGTCCCCCAAAATAACTTGCTAAATTAACGTCTTAAGAAAGGATGGACCAGTGAATTGGTAATACCAGATTTTGTATGACATAGGGCTTGAAAATGACAGAAAAACCATAAAGGAGTAATAATCAACAGAGTAATTGACAACAGAGCCAGCCAAAATAGGAAAAGAACAGTATTTAATCTTAATGAAGAGAAAATTAATGTGACAGTGAATCACTTCATTTAACAGAAGTCAAGTTTGTTTACTACCTTTGTGTTAACTGCAAACTGTTTTAGGTATCTAGTGCTCTCCTAATGTTAGAATCCCTAAATGAGAACTTCCACTCAGGCTCTTCCCTCAGACAGAGGCTGATCCCTCCTAC